TATAGCTGTATCAGTAACTGTAATTGTAGCTGTGACTACGCTCGCACATGTATGTATCAGCACGCTTGTCCATCTATCTGTCACGCTGTCTGGTATTTGCATCCGAAGCTGCGGCTTTCGGGTTTAATTGGCTGCGGAAATATTCCATGTGATTACTTAATGAGATCCAACTCAGTTTTATTACCCGCGGACTCAACACGGCTCTCAGCTAAAGTGCATAAAAGTTAAAAGGTTAACAAATTAAACAAGCAACAGCAACGCTGACTGCAGAATCAACAACAACAATAACAACAACAACAACAACAACAATAACAACTATTCGGCCAACTGCATCTAGGTACAAATATGTATTCCCTAGAGGAGGCGCGGGCGTGTGCATGTAGTTTATTATTCAATTATGCATTCATTAAGGTACAGAATTATTAATTCAATAAAAGTAACAACATTATTGCCTCAATTTGATTTTCTGTTCACTTAAATTACGTCATTTTTTTGCGTGTGTTAATTTCACTATTCACTAGACGGCAAATATATTTTAATTGGCTCTAGAGTAGTGTCAAGAGACTAACAGCATGGCACAGTTTATGTGGAGACAATGAAGAAACAATGCCAGATGAACAGAGATTAAAGACAAGAAATATTCTGTATAAAATAGCTTTAACCTATGGAATCTTTTTCTATAATCATCATATATTACACGCTTACCAGAGTACAAAAGCCAATAGAGTGAACTACTCTGTAAAATTAAAGCAACCTCTTTTACTTCTCAAACTACTTTAAGAATATTGTGTTTTATTACTCGTTCGAGATGGGAAAAGAGCATATAATATACTTATATAAATATTCTCTCGAATCAATATCTATAGAACTATCACAGCTATGCGCATACGAGAAAAACCAAGCAGAAAATATAAATTTTATTGAAATTTAACTGAGCAAACACCTTGAGCGAATATTAAACAGGCGATTGCACTCGGCTGTGAAGTGGCTTTCATTCTTTATTTAAATTCTCTATAAAACTTTGGCAACCACAGCATGAAGAATGTGTGTAAAAAGTAAAGAAGCTTACAATTAAGTCATATTAATACGAAGGCAAAGATATACTTGTGGCCACGATGCTCATAAAGCAGTTTGGCTTTTATACATGATAAAAATTGAATAAACTTTAAAGATGCGTGAAGGATTACATTCGATGAAATACACACATATATAAACAAAAAGTGCATTAACTTAAAAAGTCTTGTAGGATTGATCAATGACATTAGATGATGCAAAAATAAGCCGTGAATCATTGTGGAAAGTCTCATGATGAAGCATGATTCCTTGACGGCGTGTTTACAGCACGTTAGATTTAGTACAGTGCTCTACACGTTTGATGGCCTGTAAATCTGCGTTTTATGTACACGTTAAGTCAAGGTCTGTGGCAGCTGGCATTAGCCAGCTAGGCTGGATGGTAATGACCCAATTGCTTATGTTGGCAGACAAAACGTGGCGCTGGCCAAAATGTTTATGGCCAAATGAATAATTAAGAAGCTATTACGGGCAGTAAGTGCTCGCTGGCTTATTAAATACGGCAGGTAGGTAACCAAAGTTGACAAAGGAAAAAGATGAAGAAAAATATAAATTTAAATATGAGAGAAACTATCGCAATTAAACGTGCCGCATGGATGGTTGCATTTAACACGCTTAACCTTTCATTGGCCAGAGCCAAAGGCATAAATAATTTAATTGTGAGTGCGCTCTTTGGCCAGCAAAATGGCCACAGAGATGGCTGGCCATCGACAGATCTTGTGGCAGAGGCTAGCCCACAGCTTTTCACATTTTGAATGGGTTTGCCGTGCTCAAGCTCAAGCTCAGGCATCGCATAAGCACAGTCAAGGTGTTCCGGTGCATTTATTGCAATTAAACACTTGTTAATGCCAAAGCTGTTGGCCACTAAAAACAAAACCACATAGTATAACAAGAAGCTGGCGACGAATACAGATACACACATCTGTATTAGTGTGTGTGTGTGTGAGCTTGATTGTATTTACAACAAGATTAATACTTGGCATTGTGGCATGAATCAACGTTTCGTTTCGTTTAGAATTCGCTGGCGGCCGTTAGCAGAAGCCCCAAATAAACGGCAATGCGCTAACCTTGTCACTGGCAGCAGCAGCTACTTGCAACTGCAGCAGCTAAAAAATGCAGCGACGGCGGCAGTAGCGGCTGCTGCGGTTCGAGTGGTTTTCCTTGTATTTGATTTTTCAATTTTAACTGTAGAAATAGGCGGCACACTCGCACGTACATAATTAATGTGCCAAAGAATTGGCATAGTAAAGTTTTACCAGTTACACATATACACATACTAATGCATACTTATACACATACAATACGTATCTTTTGGTCTGGTGTGCATGCAAAATCGGCAAATGCCAAATGTTTTGATTGTTGATTTAAACGTATGCGCAATGTTCGCACATTTATCGATTACAAATCAATTTTATACTATTGCGCATCTCACGTAGCAGCTGGGCGAGCTGCTTGGTGGCGACCTCGACTTGGACTCTGTTGGCGTTGCCCAAGCCATCGAGATGGGGCCGAGGGTGGGGAGAGTGCAGGCTGGGGGCCTGTTTGCCAACTTTGTGCAACGCATTGCTGCTGCCGGATTACACTATTAACGCCAGTTGCATACAAATTGGCGCATTTCAGCATTTCAGGTGTGTGTTACCTGAGCTAACCGTAAGATACAGATACGCGGCTGCACTCGTTAGCGTTGTTAGTCGGTCGGTGTCGGTGTCAGTGTCGCTGTCGCTGCTTGCTTGTGTGTGTGTGTGTGTGTGAGTTTTCTGTTACTGTTGCTGAATCTGAATCTGAATCTGCATCTGCGCCTTCATCTGGGGGCATTCTGCGCCCATTTGCTTGCCTTTGGTGTGCGCCTCGAGTCGCAGCTTGCATAAACAACAGCCGCAGCAGCAGCGGCAGCGGCAGCGGCAGCGACTGCAAACGAGCCAAACAAATTGAATGCTGGAAAAAGTGCACAAGGTGCGATATATAAATTACACCTCGATTAAATTGCAATGCAAATTTCAGTTGTTTTCGTTTTCGTTTTCGTTTTTCTTTTTCTTTTTCAACTCCGCCCTGGACAGTGGCAAACTGGAAATACATGCAATACATCTGCGCTTGTGCATGCATGTGCTCATCTAAGAAGACTTTCGGCTTCTGCTTCAGTTACAGCTTAATGCTGTCAGACGCAGCTTCCTGCAATCCTCATCAGTATGACTGGCCGGCTACCCATCGAATACAGACGTGACGACAGCATAAGTAAGCAGCGCATTCGCGGGATTTGTCAAATATTTGCGCTACGCTGCGCTCATTCATAAAACCTTTGGCTAAAGCCTTGGCTCCACACTTCCACAGCTCTGACACCAGCCGCAACCTTAGCCTGTCAGTCTATGCATCTCTCTCTCACACACACACACACACTTTGATTGCATGCGCGCTCTCTCTCACTCGCTGTCTCTCCCTCTGACGCTGTCGTTCTGTCTCGCGCATTGCTGATGCAGTTTTTTACGCCTTTTGCGAGGAAAAACAAACTTTTTCAGACGTTGGGTAAAGTTCGGCAAGTTTAATGCTGTTTGACTTTGATTCAATATTTGCATCGATTAAGCTTTTCAAGGTTTTTACTTAGCTGAAAATCAAAATGGCAGGCACACACACACACAAACACACGCAAACAAACACATATAGCTTGATATATGTATGAATGCGAGCACTTGATAATTTTACATACGTGCAAAATATAAACATGCTTGAATTAATCTCTAGAGAACGGCAATCGCACAAATATTCATCAAAATATTTTTATTTATTAGAAATTCAATTTCAAATACAGAGTCAACTCAATTTGATGCCTCTCATTCATATTATCCATATATATTCAAGAAAACACTCAGAGTTAATCAAACTTATTTTGTTTGCAGCAAATCTATTGACTAATTTAGTTATTTAACACTGAAGTTATTAAATTCTAAATAGCATAGAACTTACTTTATTTGATTTAGAAATTCAATTAAATTGATCAATCCCTCAATATTTATTTCTATATATTCATTGCCTACTTTTGCTAATAAACAAATTGTTAAACAATACGGAATTCCCACAATTTCTATCCAAATCTATATAATTATCAGAATTCATACATCAAATTGTAGTTCAATTAATTATTGAAATGCAAAAATGTGTTTGATAATTTTCTTTGATGTGAAATAATAAAATTCCTAAATCATTGGCGATTATATCAATTAAATAATAAATTAGCTATACGTATTATACATACATATTTAGCACAATTATTTTAATGCTACACATTTTTCACATCTTAATAAACGGCAAAACATTTACATGTAATTTTCCTCGGGCAATTTAAATTATTTTTTTATTGCAAGGCAAAGTTCGTAGCTTCACTATACTATATATAAATATCAATCAATACATAAATCTATATATATATATATAATTATAAATGACTGCAAATTGAATAATCGAAAATAAGCTAACATAACTTTTTATTCAGAGTATTCGCTGTCGTAATTTAATATTAACATTCTTTTATTTTTAGAGACTCGCATAAAAATAATAAAATAATGCAAGTTAATAACAAAATAATTTCACAAACAATGCAATGCAAACAAATACTATTCTTTTCACAAAAATAATATACATTGTACGACACGTCGTATGTGTAATATGCTACCAAGCAATATATTTTGTCTGTGCTGATTTAACTGAATTATTGATACTTATTATTGAAATACAATTGCAAGTAGCTTAAATTACATTTGCATTTTTTTAGAGCTGCTTTTAAAATAAATTTCATCATAGCAGCGAATTGTGAGCAAAACTATTTTTTAGTCAATATCTGATTTACACAGAAACGTTGGTCGACAGCACAGCAATTTTATATATGATTATTATTAKTAAGTATTGCAATTGTAATGAAATTTGTTCACTAGGCTTACTCTGTTGTTCGAATTCCAGAAATGCAGCGATTTCAATCACAGCTCCCTAATTTTGAGCTCTTCAATTGATCTATAATTTTGAATCTTGCCAAATGAGTGGAAAACTTCCTGTTTGCTGTGAGCGTGTGTATCCAAATTGTGCTTGGTGTAATCGATTGCGCACTTTCGAAATTTTCACGATTTTCACGCAGAGCCCCGATATTACACAATTGAGCTGGACTGTGGTAAAAAAAATCCAAACTCCCGAATTGGCAGCGAGCACAACGTCGAAAACGTATTTCAGGAAAATCAACTTGAAACTATTTTTTTATTTTTGTTTTTGTTTTGTTTTTCTGGCTTTTAGTGCGACAGCACAGCACCGAAACCACCGAAACCACCGAGCCAGCGAACCGAGCTTATTTTTCAACGAATTGAACGCGTTTCAGAACTGCGCTGCCAAGCAGACGAAAACCGACTCAGCTCGAGTGCGGCTTGCAAAAACGACAACACCTGAACAGGGGCCCAAACTGAGGCCTGAACGCGACTTGGTAACAATTGACGCTGCCGCCGCCGCCGCCGCCGCCGCTGCCACTGTCGCTGTCGCTGTCGCTGCGATTGCCTATGACGTATGGCGCCGACTGCAGCGTCAGTGTGGCCAAGCCTAGCTTGGGGGTAGTAAGCGTACGTCTCAGTGAGACTCAGCGACTCTAAGTAGCTGTCGCGCTCTAAGTAGCTGTCGCAGTCGCAGTCGCTGTTGCTGTCGCCGTCGCCGTCCCTGTTAGCGGCGCAGTCGCAGTCGCGATCGCAATTGCGATCGCTGTTACAAGCTTCACTCAAATTGAGTGGCGCTGTCGATAGCCAGAGCAGCAGCAGCAGCAGCAGCAGCAGCAGCAGCGAGAGTCGCCAAAACGAAACTGTTAATTAATAAACTAAGTAAACCTGCAAATGCTATTCGGCAGGCAGTTGGCTTGATGTTTATTTTCTCAAGCGTGAACTAAACGTGGCTTTTTCATGCGCGGAACAGAAATGATATCTAAAAATCTCTTAAAGCTACACCAAAGTTGAGACGATGTTTCTCATTTGCGATGGATGGCATTTCCCATTTAGCGCTCACGATGACCTGTTCTCTTGCACTCGAAGTTGCTCATGGATTTTTTATTTTATTTATTTATTATTTTATTTTTGTTTATAATGTACATTTTTAAAAATATTGTTTATACATTTTTGCCAATCTCTTAAAAATGCCAGAAATTCCGTTTGGA